GGCTAGACAAAGCCTTGGTTGGATTAATACAGTTGGGGACAGTCCTGCTTTGAGCAGGGGGTTGGATTAGATGTGACCTCCTCCGATCCCTTCCAACCCTCATTTTCTATGTTCTGTGATTCTATGAATCTTCAGAAGCATAGAAGGGATTTAGGAACACAAGTTCTCTTTCCTTTCAATAGGACTTGCATGCCCAGATTGCTTTCTGTGTTTGAAAATCTCCCCTGGAATAACTAGAAAGAGCTGGAATTACTTGGTTGCAAGTGATGGGAGCTTTGCAGATCTTAGCCGGAAACCAGCTATCGTGCAGGGAACTAGTATGTCCCAACCTCATAGAGCTGGAGTGAGAATAATTCCATTCCTGGCAGCGAGATGCTTGGGTACTCTGATGATAAGCCCAGTAGAAAATCTAATAGAAACAATAGGATGCAGCAGACAGAGCCATGGAGTTATCTTTCAGGTCAAGTGCTGCATTCCTATTAAGTCACTGAAGCTGTGGATCTGACACTTTATAGGCTCAGGCAAGTCACTTAGGACACTTTTACATGTGCTCTGGGGTAGTGGGGATGGCACTTTAATTAGAGCGGGTCTGAGAGCCTTGTCTGTACTGTCAGGGACTGAGCCTGGTTCACCCACCCAAGTGCATGGGTGCTCTCCAGGGCTGGAGCTCCCTCACAGTGCTGCTTCAGACTTGTCCCCACGTGCTGGGGACAAGGCTGGAGCAATTTTCTGGGTGAACTTCTGGCTCTGGAGCATGTTGGCAGGCTCAGGCCCAGCCTCCCCAAGACCAAGACCAAGACCAAGACCAAGACCAAGACCAAGACCAAGACCAAGACCAAGACCAAGACCCACTGCTGATCTAGTTTAGATCTGCCCTGACTGACTCAAAGCCTTGCTTCTCTGTCTAACAAGGGGCTGGTAATACCTCCTTTCCCCTTTGTGTTTTATGTCGTTAGCTTTGGACAGGGACCATCTCTCGGCAGGGCTGCCACAGTCGGGGTTCATGACTGCAGCTCTGGCAGTCTAGCCAGCTTGGGTATGGGGAGAGGTTGAACCACAGCAGCCTCTGCAAGGCCAGATGGGACCCTGAGCACTGAGGCCCCAGGTCAGGCCGGGCTTCTGGGATTTCACTGCAACCCCCCCCCATCAGATTGCAATGCAGATGCCTTGGGGCATCTGCATCTTGAATTTGGCTGGGGTCTCTAGGATTGCCAGGGGGGCAGATAACACACTGCTTACAAAAGGAACCTTTCTCGATTTCTTTTGCCCTCCCTCCCTGCGGCAAGCGGATCCTATGGTCCAGGGCTGGGACTGGTGATCTGTTTTGATTGCCCATCTGTTTTTTTTCATCAGATGTCTCTTGCCCAAGGGAGAGGCTTGTCAGTGCTCCTCATCCTTTCTGGCTGCTGCTTCATTGGAAAGGTCACCTCCCTGCCTTGGAGCAGAAAACAAAAGGGAAAGTTTTTCCTTTTTGTGCTGCTTTCTGAGCCAAGGGTTGTGAACAGCTGTAGACGTTAACATGGGAAAATGTTACAGATTCCTGGGAGATGGGCTAACCAGGGGGTTGGAGGTAAGATATGACCAGGGAGGGGGAAGCATGATCTAGGGGTTACAGCAGCAAAGTCACAAGTTCAAGTTTTAGTCATCTGATTGTGACTCGGCTCCTTCATCGGTTACAGCCAAGACAGTGATGAAGGGTCAGAGCTTGCTTGTGAGTTAAGGGGTAAAGAGATCTGACTCATCTTCTATGTCCGGGTCTCTAGCGGCTCAGGGAAGGGACAGATCGGTGGTGTGAGGAGTATGTGGAAAGAGAATGAGAGGGAGAACAAGGGGCAGTGGTCAGGTCATGGAGCAGGGAAAGGACGTCCCTGCTGGGTGAGAGCTCAGGGGGATCTGAGTGCGTATGGGTTGAACAGGAGGAATCGGAGCAGTGAGGCCTTGGAGATGTTCCCCTGTCTTGTGAAAAGTTTTATGGCTGTTCCCAGGTGAAAAGCAGCCCTTTCCATGAGCACCAGTCATGCATTCCCTTCTTGGTCTGAATGACAGCTTGGGGCCCTTCTAATGTCAATGAAGGCTCTTGCTTTTATTGAGAGAAAGACCTGACAGTGTGAGTGGTGTCTCATGGGAGGTGGTGGGGCCCGTGTGTTGGGCCTTCTCTCTCAGCTGCTGCTTTCCTGTGTGAAATTTGGGAAGTCCCTTGTCTTCGCCCTGCCTCGGTGGCTTGATCAGTAAAGGAGGGGAGTGATGGTGGTTGGGCATGTTTGCAATGCACTTTGCAATCCATTTGGGGCGCATAGGCCCCTCCTCTGAACCCAAGTACGAAGCATTGCAAATGATGCTGGTATTTTCCTGGGGTGGGATGTTAGGTGGTTTCAATGCTTCTTGGATGGAAAATGTCACAGAAATGCAAAGTATTACATTACAAATTAATGTAATTACTAGGTGCTGGATGGACAAGTAGCACATCTGCCTCTCGGGTCCAGCTCAGGATGTTAGTAACAGCCACGTGTATACAGGTAAAGTTACTTTGCACTTAGACCATACTAAAGGCCCTTAGAACATAAGCATCCATGTTCTGGAGCTTGTTCACTCTTGCTAAGTGCCCCCCGAAGTCTCAAAGTTAGGGTTGACCCTGGCTTGTGCTACCTTCTGTTAGGGTAACTTTAGTCTGCTCGATGGTGACCAAATGCACAATTTGCAGTCATAAAATCACAGAATCATAGAAAAATAGGGTTGGGAGGGACCTCAGGAGGTCACATCTAGTCCAACCCCCTGCTCAAAGTGGGACCACCCCCAACTACATTATCCTACCCGTGTCTTAAAAACCTCCAAGGATGGAGATTCAAGCACCTCTCTAGGTAGCATTTTCCAGTGTTTTACTACCCTCCTCATGAGAGAGTTTTTCCTAATATCTAACCTTAACCTTCCTTGCTGCATCCCAGTCCTCCAGCATCCCAGGATGCACTGCTGCCAGCTTCCCCTTCTGTCCCCCAGAGCAGGGATGGAGCCCAGGTGTCCTGCCTCCAAGCCACCCCGCTGCTCACCAGCCCTCTCGTGGCAGGTCAGAGCTGTGCAGGCAAGAAATGGTATTAACTTGTAACGCGTGACTGCTCATGGCATGCTTAAACTGTGACGCTGCTTAACACTCCCCAGATGTAGTATGTATGGTCTGAGTGTAATGTGAAATTTTACCCGTAGTGGCTCCCTGAAGACCTTTGTAAGGCAAAATGAGCTACATGTTCTCAGCCAGCTTCTGATATATGTGTGCATGAAATGCACGTACATGCACACGCATGCAAGTGCCACCATCATGGCCGGACCTGCTTGGCACTATTGCAGCGGCCAGGGGACTGAGTGAGGCAGGAGGCATCCTTTCCAGGTAGGCTGGATGCACAGTGGTTGGTTGGGGTACGCTTCCTCTGAGAGTGGCTGTGCTGTGCTGGTTCTGGGGTAGTCAGCTGCCTTCCAGGCTGTCAGCCCAGCCCCTTTCACCACTCATTTCACATGCCATTACCTTGTGAGTCAGGCAGAAAGGGAATTGGGATGAATAAAATTCCTGGTCTTGTTCTGAGCCCTGTGGAACATGTATTCCTGTCACACTCAGCCTTGATTCGGTTGCTCAAGGCATCGTGTAGCTACAAGGGGCGGCTGGGACCTGTTACGGGAATTTCAAATGCTGGGGAAGCCTATGTCCCACAGTGACTTTCATACCAATGGTAGCAATTGTGTATCTGTTTGCAGTGCATTCGCATAATGAATTAGCCATTGTTTTAAAGTGGATAATATGTATAACAATATGTTTCTGTGTTTTATGAACAATATTCTCTGAGAAGGAGTAAGAAACTCTTAGAAGGAGAAATTCATCTTGCATGCTGGCCTCCTTGGGACTCATCCTGGTTTATCCACAGGCTGCAGGATGACTCATGAAGTTAGGATCGGCTCCTTTGCATGATTTCAGTCTGTGCTTCACCTAATATAGATGTGTAAGATGCTTGGGTGTTGTCAGATTTCTCTTGCGCTCTAGTCCCTTTTGAGGGATTGAGTTAAAACATGCTTTTGTTTAAAAAGTGCAAGGGTGATACCCCCCCCGCCCTTCCCCGAAACAAATGAGTGCAGGAAGCCTGTGCCCAGTCCTCTGATGAACATGCCACAGTAGGTTTTCCCACTAAGACATTTTTTGCTGGATAGCAGCCTGGTAGCCACACCATGCCCTGGTTGGCAATGCCAAGAGCTCTTCTTAGAGGAGTCCTGATGAATAGCTGATACAACAAGGATCCCATTCATCAAGAGGCGCTGCCATTGCTGTCATAGAACAATGTGTTTTTAATGTCCTTGATGGACGAGGAAGTGCCAAAATAGATGATAGAGTGGAGGGGGAAAGACATTTTTAGAAAGGCTAATTAAAATCTGCCTGCCCCCGGTGGCCTTGCTTCTCAGCTAGTGGGGGCAAGCCAGAGGGATCTCCAAACTTCATTTAATTTTCATTTGAGCTTTGCCTTTCACCTTTGAAAAATGGAATTGCTCCACAAGCTTGTTAGCAAACGCGACTCATAACGCCTTGGCTACCAACCAAGAGGGTTGCCTCTCAAATTCTTTGTGTAACAAAACTGCTGGCCTCTGCTTTTCTCTCCCTGCAAGAACATCTGCAGAGGAGCCTGCTCTTGGTTAGCCAGCAGAGACATCCAGCGAGGAGGCTTGGTACGGCTCCAGATTAAATTCCTGCGGACACATTCATCTCTGGGGCGATGCCATTGATTTCAGGGACGTTGGATGCATTGAGCTTCTGTCGTTTTGTGTCACCCACACAAACACTCACCGTCCTTCCCATGCTCCGTGCCATCACAAAGAGGATAGCCAGCCTCCTCCGGCCATGGGCCAGGGCTCTCGGAGACAACCTTGCGCTGGTTTCCTTGCAGGTTGCTGCTTGTGGGGTTTCCGTGTTGCTTCCCTGCAGAAGGGTCAAATGTTGATTTGTCTTGTTGTTCCCTTTTGCCCTCCAGCTGTGTCTCATGACGACCTCCCGCACTATGTTTTATGGGTTGTCTCCCACCATGGCCCCCCCTTCCAGAAGCAAGCTGAAGCGGCAGAGCCGGATATTTTCCCAGGTTTTGTACCGCACGCTGAGCTACAAGGACCGCAGTTTGGTGTCTGCTTTCCCTGGTGCCAGCAGTGACGACCCAGCTGAGCTTTCCACCCAGCTCTCTGCTCCCGGGGTCCTCAAGATTTTTGGAGGCAACATCTGTGCAGGCACCAACTACAAGAGCGTTCTGGCAACAGTCAGCTCGAGTGCACAGGAGCTCGCCAAGGAAGCGCTGGAGCGCTATGGCCTGAGCAAGGTGAATGCTGGCCAGTACGTGCTGTGCGATGTCATCGGGCGGTTTGAGGGCTGTATCAAGCAGTGGCAGACGGAAGGCTTGAGGGTCCTTGGGGATAACGAGAAGCCCCTTCTGATCCAGGACCTGTGGAAGCCCAGGGAAGGCTACGCCCGGCGCTTCGAGCTGCGGAAGAGGTCCGAGGTGGAGGAGCTGGCTGCCCAGGATGTAGACACCCTGACCGCAGGTAAGAAGCTCCCAGAGAGCAAGACACAAATGCATCCCTGACACGAGCTCATGGCTCTTCACTGTGGGGAATTCTCTCTGCCTGGTACCAGGGTAGCAATGAGGGTGTATTCTGGAGGGGGAATTGAATATACCCCCTTTAATGCCTTAATGTCTTTTAGCAGAGAGAGGTTAGGCAAGTTAGCAGTTAGCCTTGCTAGTCTGAAGGGACAGTTGAGATGCACCTTATAGACTAACTGAATCAGAGATGCATATGCTTTTGTGAACCTGAGCTCACTTCAAAGCAGATCCTTGCATGGCACCAAAGGGTGCGTCTCTCTCATCCCCAGGTAACGTACATGGATGCAGGTCCAGTGGTGCCGTGTGTGACCTGCAGGAACTGAATCTAACCCTCAGATCCAGTGGGAAGACTTTAGATCAGGCTGGTCTCCCAGTCACAGTTAGATTGCATCCCAGTGCCATCCTGGGGCTGAAGACTGTTTCACTCCGCTCCCTCCCCACACACTGTGCCTCCCAGACATGGGTGCTCCTGACCGGGATTAGACATCTGCCTGAAACGTTGCCATGGAGCTGTTTTCATTTCTGTTACGGCAGGACTTCCCCAACAGTGGGAGCCCCTGAGCAAAGTGCTGTGAGCAATCAAATGAGGTAAAAACATTAGGAGAGGAGCAATACAGGCCAAAACACACCCATCTTATTCCAGAGGCCCTGAGGGCCAGCAGAGATGTGTGTGTCATTATGAATCAGTGGGTTGGTAGGTGACCTAAGCATCAGGTCAGCAGACTCCTTTCCCTCCCAAAATAAAACTCCCACTGGGTGGGTCAAGTTGAACTCATGACAACAGGCACTTTTGATCATGGTGGCATCTGAGTGCCTCCCCCTGTATCACGGCAAACTGCTTTGATATGGGGACACTAGATGGTTTGCAAGGTCTGTCTGGTGCATTCCCCCTCTGCCAGTTCCACAGTTGCTTCTGCAGCGGAGCGGTGCCAGTATTTTCTGTTATTAGCTTCCATATCCTAACAGGAGGGTTATGCTTTTGCAACAGGAGCCCGGGGGAGATTTCAAAACTAGCCCACTCACTGCCCTACTAACCTGAGCTGAATGCAGTGCCCGTTTACCTGTTTGTAAGATAACCGACGGGACTGTAGCGAGAGAATTGGAGGCAAGCATTGGCTTGGTGTGTGCTGGTATTTCCCTGGGCATGTACAAGAATGCACGTGTGCACCAGGAGAGCCTGGGCATACAGCAAGCCTGGCAGGTAGAATGGGGTATTGTTTGAAACCAAATATAAGCCAGGTAACCAAACCCTTTTTTCTTCATGCGGCCTGAGGGAGGTAAAAGCAGCAGCAAGCCTGGCTGGTCAGGGCTTAGGGCCAGAGATCTGGAAGGTATTTCTTGCATTGCTGTATCCAGTCTCCTGTGAGCACAGGTATCTGGGCCAGAGAAATCAATGAGAAGGTCCATGCTGGCCCCATTCAGAGGGTGACTGATAACATGCAAAACCTACCCTGTGCCATGGGGACAGGGCTGGACACAGGCATGGGTGAACCAAATGGTTGGACAGAAAGGGGGCTGGAAAATGGTATTTCTTTTCCTTTTGTCCAATTATTATCATTATCTCTGGCAAAGGGGGGCCTGATACTAAAAGTTCACCCAGGGCCGCCAGGAGTCTAGGTATGGCACAGCACAGGGGAGATCAGGGCACTGCCCATGCCCTGCACTTGTGAGGGCACTTGCTAAGTGAAATGCATTTTCCTGACTCCAGGCGAGGACTAAACAGTCTAAATACCTGAATGTATTTCCATCCCTGTACTATAGCACATGCATGCACAAACTCTCTACTGGTTAGTGGCTTGATACACCCTCCGCTGAAGGCAACAGTTCTTTTGCCCTTGATTTTAAGAAGAATTGAATAGAGCCTGAGCAGGTAAAGAGTATCCAGAAGTAGGCAGGTGAGAATAGGCTACCAGATACAATACAAGTCTCTCAGGATGGATTATTTGGCTTCCAAATCATCCCAGAAAGATTCCTCTGTGTCCTGTATCCCTCAGTGTGGCTCAATGCACTGAACTCAGCTCTTTCTTAAGTAGCTGTACGCACAGGGCTGGGATCTATCCTTTCAATGTAAGCGGAGGCCAGTCTTTGCAGAGCCTCAGGATACTGTTTATTTGCCAGTTGTTAAGCAAATCCTAATCCATTTTGAATGTAAACAGCATTAGTAAGCTGTGAAGTCCAGTGCATGCAGGAGAGGAGGCGGACCTGATTGTAGTTTTGGCCTGCAGCTCATTTGCCCACGGTTTTGTCTCAGGAGCCCTGGCCCTCATCAGGAGCTGAGAACATGTGGAAGGGAGCTGCAGGGTGACTTGTCCAGCAGCTGTGTAAGGCCCAGATCTTGCTGCTGGGGTTGCATGGGCAGACTCCTGCCCTGGCTTGGAGCCCTGTGAAAGTCAAGTGGACTCCACCATGGATGCAAGCATCCGACCCAGCTGCAAGCGTGGGACTTGGACCAAGTTTCTCTGGTGCCCAGGGAAGCCAGCTCCTAGTTTGGAAGCAGCTTAACAGACATCCAGCGCAGAGCTTTGTTTTATTCAGATGTTGGTTTCGTCCGCCTTGCTTTTCAGAGTAGACCATTGTCTGTCAAAGTGGTATCTCCATCTTCCCGTTTGGGTGGTGTCTCCTGAGATCAATACTGCTTATGCTCCTGGTTCAGTCTCCCATCACTTGCTTGATGTCAGTGGGCAAAAGCAAGCCTGATGAGTCACTGGATAGAAGGGAATTGCTCTGGCTCCCCACTCAATATACATCTCAGTATTAGAAAGAGAGGGGTTGAAGGAGGACTGCACGAGTGTAGGCACTTGTTTGCAGCTCCTGCTTTGAAGCTGGAGATTAGAAGGTGGTTTCTAGTACCTGGAACAGCCTTCCTCTAGGAGAAGACACCCCAGTGGAGCTCGATAAATTCCTGAACATGGTAGGTCGTGTGCCATGGTTGCCTGTAATAGGAGGGGATGCCTCTCAGTGACCCAGGAGCGCACTGCCAGCCTTATGTTCCCAAATCCCTTATTCAGCTCTTGTCAAGATGTGACTTTCTCAGCCTACGACTGGCCCCTTATTGAAGGCAGGTTGTTTTTTCAGGTCAGTATTATCACTCTCACTGGATCCTGTGTAGGCTGCTGGGGCTCAGAGTGAAACTTCTGGTCTTTTGAGGTCAGATCTCCAGAAGAACCCAAGTGAATCGTAGATCCCCTGGAAACTCACCAGGCTTTGTGCTCCCAAGTCATTTAGATGCTTGTATAACACCCCCTCTCCCTTTCTTGGCCCTCGTTTATTCATTCCTTGATCCAGGGATTGCTCCCCTGCATCTGAGCACTCTACTCCCTCTTTCAGCTCCTGATTTCCTCCCTGATGTTTTATTCTCAGCCCAGCCAAAATAGCTTCAGCCAGTGGAGCTGGCTACCAAGCTTCCCTGTTGTTCTGGGCTGTATTTCTAAACAGACCGTGTCAAGTTTCTGCACCTGGACGGGAGACCTTACCTGATTGGTGACATGGAGTCATATTCCTGAAATAATAAAACGCTATATGCAGGATGCCTCTCTTGAATTTACTGAATAGTGGAAAGTTTAGAGGTGAAGATGACTCACTATGGCCAAACTCACCCCTGTTGCACTCTTTCCTGTAACATGTGTCCACTGCAACGTCCAGTCTAGTCTTCAGGATCTCCAAGTGGTTGGATGCCCTAGTAGAAATGTTCACATAGGGAGCACTAATCATGTGAAAGACGTATTGCTGATACACTGGAGACAAGTTCCCGAAAGAGAATTAGATAAACCTCCTTTGGAACATGACTACAAGATTTCAGTAGCGTGAGTATTTAGTATTTTAGAGTAACAGTTCATTTACTTTGAATTGGGGATCACTGGATGGGAAATATGGCACCTATGGGGAAAAAAACGGCACGTGGTCATTTAATCAAAACCTGTGTGATAACACATGTGCATAATTAAGATTGCATGTACAACCGCTGACGTTTCCAAACTTGTTCGTGCTTGACTTGTGTGTGTGTGAGAAAAACCCAAGTCAAACCATGAGAAACTGCATTATATTGAGACCCTCCTTTATCTTCACTCAGTTTAGACCCTTGAAGCATTTGAGCTAATGAAGTAACTCATAGCAGCTGCAAGTTTCGTCTTCTATCTGTCCCACAAAAAATCACCCTAAAGCTAAAATCACCCTAGCCTAAAGCATGCATGTCTTTATATATTTATGCTGCCTTTCCCAACACAGGCTCAGGGCGGCTTACGTACGGCGAGGAAAAACAGCAACAACTTACTGTTTAATCTGAACAGTTAAAGTTTGGTAAAGTCAGAAATTCCTGCAAGCTGAGCTTGGTAATGATAATGGATGAGAAGCACTGGCTGATCTTAACTCTAGGCAGGATTTCCACCTCCACTTGTAATCATAAGTAGTCATTTATGGAAGGTATCATGGGTCTCTCAGAGCGGCGCTCAGCTAGAACTTATTCTTCAGCAGTCCGGTTGCATGGAAGTAACAGGCCTATCCCCTGGGCAATGTGGTGATGATTGGTGGTTATGGCACACCATAAAAAACAAAGATGTCATAAGAATCCCAACATTTGCAAGACAAATGAAGCCAGTGATTCCATTTCTACCACATTGAAGCAGGCTGCGTAGGGATAAATGGAAAGTTTATCTTTGTGTTTTTGAAAGATTATTTCAAGCCATGGGAGATTTTGAGAAAAAAAATATTTTTAACAAGCCCTTGGTAGGGAAGAGCTGACAGCAGCTTTTACAAAACCCCTACCTATACTAAGAGGCAACCTAGACATAGTTTCACTGGACTCTTCAGCCAAGCTGTGGGCACCCCTGGGCAGCCTGGCTACTTCATGCATATGTGGTCTGGGCTGGTCCTGGAGCTGCAGGAAGTGCACACGCACAGTCTGTCTTGCCTTGCTATCCCTTACTTTTTGCTGTAAAGCAGTTC